AGGACTATAAATTATAATTTATACACGGAAAAAAAAGATTTGCTAATATATGGACAACTAAAAATTGTCCATATATTAGCAAATCTTTTTTTTCCGTGTAAGCATATGATTATATTTAAAGCATTCAAATAACGAAATTTCAAAGTGTGTATTCACACACATGACGATCATAAATTTTGATTTTCGAACATTCAAATCTAAATACTACTTTCACATCTAAATATTCGGAACTTCGAAAACTCGAAAGAGTTTACGAAACACTGCCCAAAATGAATTTCATTAAGAGTTTTTTGATATTTTAAATTTTCGAACTCTAATTGAGGATTCAATGTTTCGTAGTCAGATTATTCAAAGCTTCAAATTTCAACTTCAAAAGTCGAATTATACCGAAGTTGCGAAGCTTCGAATATATGAAATAATACTACGCCAAATTATTGTATCAGGCATTGCAAATTGATAAAATGAATTGAAAATGAACCGAGGACGGAAAGTCTAGGAGGTGGATACGTTACGCTTCGCATGAATAGATATTCATTTACCACGTTGACAGATTGTAATACAATATCGCGGTGCGGCATACATATTCCAGCGAGTAATATATCACGTACGTGGAAGTATCCGCCTCTCTCGTTTACGGAGATTGATGTCACGTGGAAACAAGTAGACGACGCTATGAATATTGGTCGTCGACTCGTGCTTACTACGAGCGAACAAGATTGCTCGTTGATTCTCGTATAAATAAATAATTAGTCGGGCCACGAGAACGAGAGAAGGTCTGTTCTCTCTCCGTTCAAGGATACTCGCTCGATCTCTTTCTCTTTGCCTTTGCGCATTTTGATTTCTCGCGAATCATTATAACGGAACTAATCAGGACTAATCTGTATTTCGGTTGACGAGCAAGAGTCGTCATACGCGAGAATTTGAATAATCAAGCGTGATTCATCGCACTTTAATCGCAAAGAGGAACCGGAAAAAACATCTTCCAAAATGCGATTTTTTACGCGCGGAGAAGCAATGTAAACAGATAAATGTATGTAAATTTTTTGTTAGTAACCTTATTAATCGTGATTTGCAAAAGTTGTTATCAGTATTATTAGTATTTCATTCATATAAATGGGAACAATTCTTTTTAGTACAGAAAGTATAAGAAACGCAAAGATAAAGTACCAAAAATTTAGTCACAAACATTAAAAAGCAACTTAATTACTTTGTTTATAAATACCTTATGAGACTTATTAAAAAAATCAACCTTACACACGAAAACATTACCGAGTAAACAGTATATTAATAGGATTAAATATCCCATAAGTGATAATTGTGTGATAATTTACATGAAATATCGGACCACTGAGACACCTCACAGAAACATGAAAGCCCAAAAGAGAATGTCAGTAGAATCAATGCTTCCACTGATAATGTTGTGAAAGAAAAATAAATCGGATAGGATTCTGCCACTTTCAAGAATTAATAAGCCAAGATCCTTTAAAATTAAATAATGGCAAGGGATCGACATAAGTTCACAGCAATAACTAACATGTCTAAAAAAATGATGTTGCACACGCTCAATCAAGATATACTGATCATCCTACAACGGCGCTCATATTATTATTATTGTTGTTGTTGCTACAGTGTTGATGTGCAAGTGAGCAGTAAAAATTTAAGAATAAAAAGGACTGTGAAAGAATTTGGAATACTTAAAAATAAACCCAAGCACGAGCAACTATTATCCGTATATGAACATTAAAAGTAAAAAGATCAGAGCAGGAAAACACACCTAGATCTCTAATTAATGAGTTCCTTATGAGTATTTCATATGGCACTGACATTTTGCACATAGAATAGGCAACGAAAAGGAATACAAAAAATACGAAAATAAATAAATAATTAGTCGGGCCACGAGATGAGAGAACGTCTGTTTTCTCTTCGGTCAAGGATGCTCGCTCGATCTCTCTCTCTTTCTCTCTCTCTCTCTCTCTCTCTCTCTCTCTCTCTCTCTCTCTCTCTCTCTCTCTC